CGCCCTATTCCTTTTAATATTCTGGTCTCGCGACTACTATTTCCCCAGGGCGCGAAGTCATTGTTGGCCTTTATTATTGAAGAAGCCGTTCCGAGGAGGGTCCAGCGTATGTTACTCCGACGCCACCCAGGCCGATTGCGCTATGCGCCCTTTTGCGGGACTGGCCGTGGTTAACCGTTTATCAGACCCGTCGTGCTCATACATCTCAAGCTCTGCGCGTGAGTAGGAAGCATCAGCGATAGCTACCAGAAAACGATTAAGCTAATGATAATCAAAAGGCTCATAACCCCTAGAATAATAGGTAGAGTGGTACGCACCTAGCTTATCATCATTCGCCTTAGGAATGGTTAAGTTTACTAACATTCGAAGCCCAGACTCGAGGTCCCTATTGGACGTAATTAAATCGAGTACGAGTTGAGTACCCGACCAACACTGTCGGTGGATAGGATGGCGAGTCTTGCGGACGGTTTTCCCCAATTCTCTAGACTGCCTCAGGAACTACGAGATCAAATTGTAAGTCAACCTGCTAAGTTGCTATCGTCCGTGATAACTGCCTTGCTTCCTGTCCTCGGTTTTCTAGATCATCTCTCTGCTAGGCGTTATTATTCATCGTGGATTGGACCGCTAACGAGTCAAATTTGGTCCGTTACAGTGGCAGTATGCCTTCCCGGAGGCTCGAATTTACGAAGTACTGGATTCGCCATGTTCCGTTGCGTCACAAGCCGGGCCGAGTGCAAAGCTTATGTTTGCCGATGTCCGGAATGAGCCTCCTCCTACATTGTCTCGGGCGTGCCGGGATTCTCGGCAGGCAGTGCTTCGCTATTACAAACCCCTGGCTTTTTCTGGAGTCGTCAAACATATAAATCTTGATCGTGACATCCTCCTTCTCGACTCATACCTACAAGTCAGGCGTCTTCTCAAGGTTATTCGCTTGTTGAGCCAGATTGAGTCTGTTAGACGCGGCGCCTCTAGGATAGCATTAGGAACATCAGTATGTAATTCTCGGCGTCATTTCTTTCGTCTCTTTTCAATCGTTTAAAATGTTTGAAAGCTCCTGTTGGGCAAGATCTATGTCTTAAAAATCCCTCACGCTTCTAAAAACATTTAACATCACGCTCCAGCAACGGTTACTGACCCCGAGTGTTGCAGTGGGGTCTGCATACGGGATTACACCTTCGTCTCTTTCACAAGGCCGTGCGGACAAAACAAAACATGGCGCGACTCCTGGGGCACCTTTCCAAATTTTCCAACCTCGAGGCGATCATATTGGTTGTGTATCAGCGTTCTACATTCAATCTGACCTTCAGTCAGCCAAACCGTACAACTATCCCTTGGGATCATCATGATTTCTGGGAAGCATATCATTATCGATTCAATGTCAACTTCAACCTCGAGAATTACTGGCTGCGCCGACCCTATCAGACGAAGCTAGTTCGATACGACCCCGAAGCTCAGAAAGCCGAGAAACCGTTGGCATCCACGCGTGTGTCGAAGTCATGCTGTCGCGACCCTCAACCACGAGGTCACCAAGTCCGAGATTTGAAGATGATGTTTGAGAAGTCGTTGCGGACGGTGGCAGAGAGCGGCCGGTTCTCTCGTGCCGGGTTATATGAGCCCCCCAAGCTGGAGACAGCTACGTTAACCTGGATTTATACCGGGTTCGGTTATGGAAATTGCCCCTAACAATAGAAACTACCTCTCTATGGCGATCAATGTGATGTTGAGTAGCGACCCAGTTTGAATTGCAAGAATGATGCTCCAACTCACCGCAGTGAGTCTAAGTACCTGGGCTAAAAACATCTCCATTGTGGCTAACTAAGCAATGGCCGTGACCCATGACCGGGCTTCGAGCTGCTTGAATTAAGCCCGTAACTATGCCTAGAGCTATGTCTCAGGCATGCAATGGACTGGGCTGCTAAAGTTTTCTGGGCTGAGTTAGGCTTGGCTGACATGATGGCGATGCCTCCAATGGCCCCCAAGATGGACAGCCTTGGGGGCTTATCCATCGGCAAAGAAAATTCTACAAAGCCTTTCACTATCATAGTTATATTTAATCCCACGAAAGAGTGAAAGAGCTCTGTGCTCCTTTTTCAATACAAGCAAACTTATACTGGCTTATTATTTGAAGCTTCAACCTCTGGCAGGCACTGGTCAACACCCTCTGTTGTGCTGCGTCCTGTAGCCTGCAGCGACTACGGTCTATGACACTGGAAATACCGGAAACTCAAAAACGCTAAAAACGCTTACGAACAACTGCAGAATCTCACTTGAGCTTTCCCCCTTCTCTTCTCTGTTATCGATTCTGCAGCTCGGCACTACAATATTTGCTCTGCGGTATCTATACGAATTAGTTTGCGTTTTGTATCCAGTGAGTACTTTTACAGGTCAGTTAAGAGTATGAGAGATTCTCCCACTTCGTCATCTACCATCTGACACCTTCGTAGATTAATACAATGGGCTCCCAGAGCATAAGCCCCGACATGCGGAATGAAATCTGTGAAATAACGCTTGAGGAGCACAGACACCACACCAATGGGAATAAAGTCATCTGCCTTGGCTTCGCTGCCGAAGACGAGCATGGTGACAAAGATTTGCTACTACATGAACTACTCTCCGTTACTCCCAACAATCCTCAAGAAATCAAGGTTTATAACCTACTCCATTCTCCAAGTCTAATCGCCTCTCGCCACGGAGCTAACAGCGGGCAAAATGACATCGTCTACTTCGACCACGACACTTTGGAGGAGCTCGAGCTCCATCAGACTGGGCCACTCCAACGAGTCGCAGACACGAAAACTGTCGCTGTTGACTGGTTGTCTCTCTGCACCCAGGAGAAGCTGAAAGAGACCCTCATGGCCGTTTATAGCCGGCTTCGCGACATCGAGAGGATCATCGTATTCGTTGATAATTCCTCTCGGCGTACCATGGCACGGGAAGTCCAAGGGATGATCCGAAACCAAGCGTTCTGGCAGGAGTGCAATCGTCGGTACGCGCTCGAGCAAATCCTCCCTGTAAGAACGAGGACCCTCCATGTTCCCCAGATCTGTCTTATGCGGATCGCCAGAGGTTGCGATCACGAGAGAGACCCCCGCCTGCCGCCCCAGCTAACCCCGTCGGCGCACGACCTCGCGAGTCCCGGCCCCGCTGATATTGATGAGCTCCGGGATCCAGCGCAGCAGGAGGAGGACCCAATCTTCGCGGACTACAGCTTGCAGGATCTGCTTGGTTGATCGCGGAATAGAGAGTCATAGCGATTCAATGAGGTGCATGAATGGGATTTATCCCTAGCACTGTTGGCTAATAGGGCTGCAACGAGGGTCAGGAAGATGTCTAGTTGGAATGGTAGTTCATTTTTGGATCAGGAGCTGGCCTTGCGAGTAACCGGGAAAAGCTCTGTAGTTTAACGTCACCAATTTTATAAAACTGCCGGTTTGGGCACGAGTCAAAGGCCACACTCGGGGCTTGTGACATTCGCCCTACCATAACTCCAGAACACAGGGTATACATCTCTAATCTGAAAGTGAGAGAGATTCAATTAGCTTATTTCATAGGTATACATAAGTGGCAGAAGTGAGTCGTTTTAAAAAAATTTTTACAAGAAATGTTTCCTCATAGATGAAGCTAATATTGATCGGGGAGAAACGAAATTTTGAGAAGACGGGAAAGCCAAATGAATGCTTACCAATACGTTCTAGGGACCCGAACGAATTCATACCGGAACGCTGGCTGGGCGATTCTGAATATGAGGATGATGTTCGTGAAGCTCATCACTCGTTCTCGGTCGGGCCTAGAAACTGCCTAGGTGCGAATATGGTCTGGCACAAGATGCGCTTATTACTAGCAAAGCTAATATTCAACTTCGATATCTCGTTGACGTGGGGCTCGATTGGAGGGATCAGCACGTTTCCCGTCCTCTGGCATCGCAAGCCTTTAGTTTGCCAGTTGAAGGATGTGAGGGCAACGACCAACCTGGGGCTGGCCGTTGATGACCGTCATAATTGGGAGTGCGAGATCGGTAGCGATTTGATTCCGGATTCATGACAGATACCTAAGATGCGAGGCCCTCTACACCCTCCATCAATCAATTGGTTCCTATGTCGCTTGCAATGTTGTTATGGAAACGGGTAAAAACTGGAGGTATGCCAACATCAGCTGCCTACCTACCTGGGGTAGAGTCCAAGGATAAGGCGTCTGTGTCTGAACATGGCGACAAGCCTGCTATGGCCTATGGTGTTGGTCATGACAACTTCATAAGCCAACGCAACCCGTAGCATGTGGAAATCGATCACGTTACTTATTTCACGATAAAACGATACGATGACGAAAAATCTATCAATGAATTAATCGCTGATTGACTTAAAGTCTTTGGGAAACCCCTGCTAATTAGGCCCTTTAAGTTTTAAAAACAGCAAGCTTATATTCACAATATATAATTTAAACTGGGTAGCGTAGGTAGGTAGCTCTACTGTAATGAGTTGTATTTGGGGGTAGGTAAAATATGTTGTAGAGGGGATGGAGAAGGTCTACATAAATCCACCTGTGCGGGGTCCTTATATTGCACTGTCCATCGTACCTGCCACACTACCGCAGAATGAAAGTAATACGTCCATGGACCGACCATCCCTAGGATATTTCAATACTAGCCGGTTTCTAAATCGGTCTACGTTTCTTGTATACTTATTATTTAACTTTATGTGTCAAGGTTGTACTTTTGTTAGTTGTAGGGTTGGTATAGGACGTAAGGATCTCGTTAGGCGGGCGTGAGAGTCTCCGGACCTCCATTTCCAATACATCAACAACATTCCCTCCCTCAACACGTGACTGGGTGCATCAATAATCTATTATTATAGTATTTTTAGTTGAGTGCATCAGTTGCATACAAGATCCGGATAACCCACTTTAAAGTCTTTATACCCTCAGCAATCAAAGGAATACGGCAATGGGTTGGGGACGTAGAGAATAGGGTTGTAACTAGTGACGTAAATTATTAGTACGGCACAGGCCAGGTGGCGGAGTGGTTAACGCGGTAGACTCGAAAAGAATTCGTGGATAGATCTGTCTGATCTACACCGGAATTCCTAGTGATCTACTTCCTTCGGGAGCGTCTGTTCGAATCAGGCCCTGGTCGGCAAATATTTTGTGCTTGCGAGACATAAACACAAGTTTTTCCTTTTTACACTCATTTAGGTAGTAACTTGATCCTGGAACTACTCGATTTACTGGCATCAAGCTCCGCCAATCTTACTATAGGTATTAGGATATATGTCCTCTTGGCGTAGGTTTTCGACAAACAGGAATGCTGTAGCAAGCAAGTAGCGGGCGGATGGCGGGTATGGTTCTACACTATTTAAAGATTACTACTGTACGTATCTTTGGCGGGGTCCCGGCGGAGGCCCAACAGTGGAAGCTAAAGGGATATATAGCCGGTAGTATATGTTCCCATCATAGCGAAGCTCTTCTCTTCATCTTGATTTATTTTATGTATCGGACTTCGCCACTCCTGGTCTACTCTTTTCCTATGCTTACTATATGGAGGAATCGGAACTCCTGGCCAGTAGAATGATTACACGGACTCGCCCACCTGGTGAGAAGACTAACGTCCTGTAATAGAGTCGAGACTAACTTGGTTTACTGGTTCCTCGGGTGCCGTTTTCCAACATACCAATCGGCATGAAAGAACAGCCAAGCGACAGTTTCTGTACCCGGGGTTGTATACCCATCAACCCACCAGTCGCTGACAACAGTTGTTCTGAATTTAATAAAGCCGTGCTGATGTGTACCCTAGCCGTTGGCGAGTCCTTGGGCATCTGAGGATATATTATCGTCTTCAGCCCTGGTCTCCTGAACGGGTGCTGTGGTGTCGCCCTTCATAAAGGAGACAGCCTTAACAGAATATGGCATATATACGAGGCCAAGTGGAAGTACAACTCTCTTATATCTGGAAAAAGAAAAGGGCATGTGATGATTGGTGTTCGTTTGACTTCTAGGCGCGCTATATGAAAGCCTGAGGATCGATATTGGCAATCTGGCCTCGTGGCTTATACTACTAGAATAGTGTCGCTCATTTGCCTAAAGATTCGCCTTCTCTATGCATTGCCCTCGCTCGTCTCTGAACCCATTCTTCGCAACTAATCTCACCGTACTTCTTCTCTTCCCCCTCCGCAACACAGCTATCGAGCACACCACAGCTCTCGTTAAGGTTAAACCCAAAGAAGAAGGGCATGCTTATCCTCTCCCTCCCGCTGTAGTTCTGGGCGCGATGCACGGTGCTCACGTAGCGATCGTTCGTGATGCGCTGCATGTAGTCGGCGATATTGACGACGAACGTCCCGGGGACGGGCCTCGCATTGATCCACTGACCTCGGCGATTCAACACCTGGAGGCCGCCATTGCTGTCCTGCCATAGAATCGTGAAGAGTTGGAAGTCGGTGTGCGAGCCGATGGAGACCTCTGCTTCTCCTTGTTCTGCTTCCGTCTGCGGACGAGGCAGCGGCGGGTAGTAGTTCAATGCGAGGGCGGCATCCGGGTGCGTGAACTTTTCCGCGAAGAAGTCTTCGGGCAGGTCAAGTGACAACGCGAAGGACCGCACGAGGGCCCGCGCCACGGCAAGACACGAACGCCAATAACGCACGACGGCGTCCTTGAAACCAGGCAGGTTGGCTGTAGCTTGCCAGTGGAAATCTTCGTATCTCAGGTACCGGGCGATGTGGGGTGGGATGGCCGCCGGATCGGGGACCGAGGGGTCGTATCGCGCATCGTAGGTCCAGGAGAAAGTCTCGCGCACGTCAACCGACTCGAACGGGTTGATGCGCTGCGACTTCGGCGGCTTGTAGCCATTGAAGTATTTGGATTGGCCGATGTTGGCACGCTCTTTGACCTCTCGCGGCTGCTGGAAGAACTCGAGGAGTCTCTCGCAGGCCGTCTCGGGCACGTCCAGCGGGATGCCGTGGTTCTTGATGTAGAAGAACCCGTTGTTGGTGGCGGCGTCTCGAATCTGGCGAGCCACATTCACCCGGGCGTCTTTGGAAGCGCTGAAGATGCCAGAGACGTCGATGACCGGAATCTCCGACGGGAGTGCATCACGTAGAGGCGTCTTCAGCACGGCCCTGGAGACGGGTCCGTTGCCGGAGGAGAGCCGTAGCTGTGTGGTGGTGTTGCTGCCCCCGGGAATTCGAACCGCATCGATGCTGACGGAGGCCATTACTATGGGTTATCGTGATATCAATCGGGAACACGAGATGGGGGCCATCACTGACATGGGCGAGGATAGCTAACAATTTTACCGTCTGTTACTTACACGAGGCAAGGGCTGGTTGGCAGTGCCAACAAATCCATGCACGATAATCAACCATGACCAAAAATACTGCTGGTTTCGGCGGTTTCCGTGGCTTTGAACTACTAAAGCAAAAGAGACATTAGTGATTTCGCCCGGACTTGAACCGGAGACCTTCAGTGTGTTAGACTGACGTGATAACCAACTACACCACGAAACCATCGAGCTTAAAGGATCATCGCGACCTAGTGCAGTGAATGACCGATGATGGTTGGTGGTGTTGTAATATGTAAGGGTGGAGGATGGAACTCATAGGCCTACTGTAAGTAACTAAAAGCACCCTTATCCTCTAGGATCCTTGGTATAAACTGGGCTAGTCTTAACGTAAATCTAGGGTGCTAAGGCTTTCTAAGTTGTTGAAATTAATACCTCTATATATGCAAACACGTAGGCCATTAAAACAAGTATATATATAAGCTTTAACAAAGCTCATTTTATTGGCTCGTTTGTTCGTTATAGGGGAAGAAGTAAAGCTTCAGGTTTAAGTTACAAATCGGGCATAAACTATGAACGTGTTATAAGTGGCATCCGTATATCGATTAGTATATACCAAATAAGAGATTTCGGGGAGCATAATCCCTCGAGCCAGCTCTCGTCATCTCATCATTATACAGTCGTAGTTCAGGTTGACATTATATATACACTCAATGCCAAGACCCGGCTTGTGTAGAATCCTGCATTACTGGCGGCATGCCAAAGCTATGCATGCCTTGGTGTGGCATAAACCCACCGTACTCTTGAACAAGGTAGTTCCAGTCCATCTCGCCACCAATATTTACGACATCAGGATATACCATAGAAAATTGCCTACTGATATCGGCAGGCTGCATGTTGCCGAACATGTCGGCAGAATGATACATGGCTGTATTGGGCATAATGTTTGTTGCTGGTGCAGATGATGAAGAAGGTGCTGAAGCGAATCCAGCACTAGTTACTGGCATCTTTGGTGATGGTGTTGGCAACGGTGTTTTGTCTTTGGCCTTCTTGGGCCTCCGAGCATCGATTTGTCTCATGACTGTGATGAGCCTTGGCGGGGCTAGAGTGCGGCCGTTTGCAGCCTCAGCGGCCTCTCTGGCGTCCCAGGCCTTCACGAACAGTGCACTGAAGGCGAGGTGTAATGGGGTGCGTGTTGTGGTGGTCATTTTCCTCCTTTCTGCATGCTCGAAAATTGTTTCCCAAGCGCGTTCGCACAGATCACCGGTCGTACGATGGCGGAGCTCACTTAAAAGACAAACATATGCGGGGAATGGGAAATACATCTTTGTGTACCAGAGGAAGCCTTTTAGTCTTTCATGAGCTTGCATCATACTGTCATACTCGAGCATCCGTATGGCCTCGATTAGGAGAGCCTCGCTCTCAGCCGCGGGCAAGGGGGAAGGGGCCGTTATCGCAACTCGGAAGAAACCGGAGTAGACTTTCAACTTGCAAATGTTGCCCCGCGTCATGAGGAGCGTCATATAGTGAATGGGTATCTTTGGGTCACAGAACTTCAAGTACGTTTCCTCCATGTAGTGTGCGAATTGGTCAAAGTAGCCCGAAAGGCGGTGGTCGGCCAAATTTGTGACCGCTTGTGGATTGGCGGCAGACAGCTGAGCCTTCATCTTATCGTTGCCCGGTGCTTTAGCAAACTCGAGCCGCGTAAGAGCAAATATCATTTCGGTGGCACCAGTATGAGGAGGAGGGGGATCTTTGGCATGAGTATTTAGATCGGCGTCGTTCATATTGAGTGGCAACTTGCAATTACCACCCGTTGAGATGGCCGTGATGGTCGATCCGCACATTTCTCCTATGCGTCTGTCAAAGCCGGCCAAGTTCCACCAAAGCCTCCGCCTCTCTTCTACTTCGAAAGGGGAGAAACCAAATTCTGCACCATCTCGTTGGAGACCGAGACGTTGGGCTAAACGGACGCCCATACCTGTTAGACAGAACAGGGACCGAGGATCCGTATATTGCCTGACGCCAATCTGGTACTGGTTAGGATTAGAAGAATATCGAAGACTGAGAGGGTCAATCTTACACAGTACAATAAGTAGGCCTGCAGTATTGTCAGATCCGGCATGCGCATGAATCCTGCATTGAACAAAGCTTGTTGTGTGCCATGTTGATATTTCATGAGCAAGTTCGATTTCGATTCGTTGAATGTCTGCTCCACTTCGTCGTCGGTAAGACTCGTGATTGCCATCAGATAGATAGCAAACATCAGGGCCTCCAAGCTTTTAGACACCTTTGTGAGGTTTGATGAAGCTTCAATGATCTGGACTTGTAGGGTAGGCGCATGCGTTAGTTTAAGGAGAGGGTTGACGTTGTCTAGATAGAACTGCCATAGTTGAAAAATTTGGACACCTGACGGATGTAAGTCGGTGACGCTCTGAGGTTGGCTGCCGATGGCAAAGGGGAAGCCATCTGTGTTGCCGAACATTTGATCGTAGGCGTGATTAATGGTTGACCCGACGTCTTCCTCCTCGGAAGAATCTGGAACTGGATCGGTGGGTGCTCGAAACTAGACTTGGATTAGGGTGGACATTACAGAAGGATCAAACAAACCGACGCACCTCTTTCTGAAAGGGGAACCATCTAAATGTGCTGTCGACATGTCTCATTTAGCACGTGCAGCATTGAGGCGCTCAATTTGGGGCAATCCGAGATACTACTCACCGTGGTCTGTGGAGGTTCTCACCAGCAGAGGAGATGACACCGGAATCTGGACCGGCAGGCGACGCCTTGGCTCTCTGTCTGGTGAAGTCAGGGTCGAGCTCATCGCCCTCCTCGACAGAGCCGGGGTCGGTGATCTTTAT